TTTATTGGAATGAACTTAAGAATTTCCACCCTGAGAGACAGCAATATTGTCTGTCTATAGGTGAAATCGGCCCCGAGGGTGACATCGGACCACCAGGCCATCCGGGACATCCAGGAAGACGCGGAACTGCTGGTAGACCCGCTGAAGGAGGAGTCGGAAAACCGGGACCCAAAGGAGCAGACGGTCCAGTAGGACGGGCTGGGGCGCAAGGGCCGCGAGGCAAGGTAAACCATCAGCAGGAAAAAAGTAAAAATTATATTCGCATCTGCTTTTATTTCTAAGCGAAATTACATCTATGGTCCTCCTGGGCCACCAGGACAGCCGGGACCAAATGGGCTCGATGGAGTAAATGGAAATGTAGGAGATAGGGGACCTAAAGGTGAGTTCAGCAAAGCAGAAGTGAAGAGGAAATTATTACAAAATTTGATAGGACCACCTGGCGAAAAAGGAGCGGATGCTAAATTCTGCCCTTGTCCAATGGAATTGCATATGATTAGCGATTCAAAGGTCGGTAGATATCCTACCAATTTTTTAAAAAATTTGTAAGAGGCTACATAATAAAAATAAGAGTGAAAGTTTTTTGGAGAATTTGCTTATACATTGAGAATGTTTTAAAAATGCTCAATCCTCGGGCATTGAGGAAACTTTTTGATTACTTGGTCGCATATTCTGCTTACAGCGAAAGTTTGCGAAGAGTGCTACGCAATACGGCACCTCGATGGTCTCGAAGCCGGCGTTGAAGCATAAGGAGGAAGTTAACAGAGAAAAAGAGTCGCTTGAAATTGGGAGCAGAAGAATGAGGTACCAAATCCATATAGGTTGCTTAGAATGCTTTGTTTTTTCTATCCGCTTTTGTTGCTTCTTAGAATTCTGCAAGCCTTAATCTTATTAATTCAAGAATTGTTTTTTTTTTCAATTTCAACCATCTACCAATAATTTTGTAGTGCTATATGGTAACTTTACAGTTCTGCAACAGAAATCCCTGATCGGATTCTAGAAAATCACATATTGCCAAGCCGACCACAAAGCTCCTTTGTTGCTGGACCTCCCGCCCGACAGGATATAGGTCCACCTGGAGAAGAAAGGTCTGAATAAGGATTTCTCTATTTGTAACAGTGCATTCAAAAGCAATTTAACACCATAAAAAACGTACTTAGTCACCTTGCGTCATAAAAACCTCACTAGGTCAACTCTCAAACACTTACTGCCATAGGCTCAAAATCGTATAATGTGAAATTTCTAACCAAATTTTCAAGAAAAACCTCCTTGTTGCTGTGTTAAGGTCTAAAACTCCATTGCTCGGCTTAGCTCCTGGAACTATCGCTGGAACCAGGATAGAGAGGCCAGCAGTCCCTCAGCAGCCTACGACCACGACTAAAAGTACGTCAAAAAAGAGTTCAAGAATTGTTTACTTAACCGCTTTCTTTTGCACAATTTCAACAAACTGCTAATCCAGTCATTATATCTGATTTAGTCAGATAACTTTATTTGCATATTTTTCATGACGTGCACTAGATTCCTTAGAAACGACTACGACTACGACCCCTGCAACTACTACGACTACACTTCGAACGTCCACAACAACGGATGGTAGTCTCTCTGAATCTGAGGAAGAAAAGGTGAGACGAACATCAGCACATAAGAATGGAAATGGCATGCATGTTTTTTGAACTCAATTTATACCAAAATCTAAGTCATGATCGAGCAAATTTAAAC